GCGGTGGCGGCATGCGGACTCTACAACGGAGGCCAGTGGTGGAGCTCCCTAAGGGACCATGATGCGTTTGAGGGGTGTGCGGAAATGGGCGCGTTGGCGCAATGCACGCCCTGCCACTGGGGCCGTCGGTGGACTTCCCGATGGGGCCACGGAACACGTGAAGGGTGTGCCGGAATGGGCAAGGTGGCGCCATGCGAACCTGCCATTGAAACCCTCGGTAGAGCTCCCTAGTGCCACGAAGCGTGTGCGGAATGTGCCGAAATCGGCGCCGTAGCGGCAAACGAACCGTGCCACTGGGGCCTTCGGTGGGGCTCCCTGTGTGGCCACGAAGGAAGCGTGTGAGGGGCGTGCCAAAATGGGCGCGGTGACGCCATGAGATCCCTGCCTTTGAATCCCTCGGTGGAGCTCCGTGTGGGGCCACGAGCCGTGCGAGGGGTGTGCCGAAATTGGCGCGGTGGCGCCATGCGAACTTTGCCACTTGGACCCTCGCTGGGCCTCCCAATGGGGCCACGAACCGTGTGAAGGGTGTGCCCACGTGGGCGCGGTGGCGCCATGCGAACCTTGCCATTGGGGTTATCGGTTGAGCTTCAGTCCGAGAAAAATTCTGGGCAGCCAGATTCACCATCCCCACGTGCACTGGCAACGTGTACTAAGCCGCTTGAACCGGTTGGAAACCACTGCGGCCTTCTGAACCGCCTCGGGGTTCCCAACGGTTCGGACAGTGTGCAATCTGAGCACAATCGCCTCTTATTCGGAAACAATCGCCTCTCATGCTGTCCTAGCGTCCACGACGGCCGAAGAGGCCCCCAAGTTCGCCCCAAAAGGCCACCTAGAGGACCCCTGGACAACTCAGGGGGCCCCAAGGCGGCCCCAAAGGCCCCAAAACTTGCCAAAATGAGCTTCAAGAGGGCCGTATTATTGCCCCGAGATGGGGACACCGAGCGGAGGTTCCGACCCCCCCGCCCCAAGGAGACTTCCGAGATCGCCAACATGCGCGCAAGAGGCCCCCCAGACGCCGCAAAGGGCCCCAAACATGCCCCAAGGATGCCCCAAGAGGGCCTCGTGAACCCCCCGCCCCACAGGCACCCGAACATTCCATAACTGCCTCCCATCTGCATCCGAAAAGCATCTCTAGCGACCCCGTCGAACATCCAAGAAACCTCTACCCTGCATTCCAGACGGGGTGGTGGATGGGCCAGACGTCACGGTTCTGCGTGTATGTATGTTTGTGTTTATGTATATCTACACATACTACATATGCACCTGTAATTCTCGGACGCACACAACCCCAGTTGCACCAACTGGCAACAGACTCGTTGGACAACGACAGGAGTAGGGGGACTAAGGCCCCAAGCTCGAAGAAGAAATGCGGGCGGGGACAAAAACGGGGAAATGACGCGACGGAAGCCGAACAACCAACGCGGCAGCAACAAAGACACGGTGGAAGGAGGAAGAGGACGACAACAACTGAGGAATGGTGAGGAACAAAGAAAAGGTCCCGTTGCGTTTCTGGTGGCACGTTGGACATGCAACGCGGCCCGCGCAATGTCGCTCTGGCCGTCCACAGGATCAATTATTCATAGCTCGTGCCAGAAGCGAGGCCCAGCTTGCCCGCAAGCTTCTCCGCCTCCTTCCTGCGCCTTTTTTTTCAGCGCGGGGGCTAAACGTCCGCAGGCGCGCCGCCAGGTCAGCAGGCGCCCCGCGGGTAAAGAAATCACGGCCGGGGTCGCGTATCATCAGCAGGTCGTCCCCCGTCGTCGCCCTGGACAACATCACGTCGAGAAGCAGCCACGGGTCGACTGGAGCCCCCCTACACCCCTCGAGTTGGCGACAGTTTCGCAATTCGCTGCCCACCAGGCCTGACGAGGTCTACTCTGAATCCGCGCGTTGTACTCACCGTGCCTTCCCCCCCGCACCTCACGAAAGTGGCGACCGCTTCGCATGTCGCAACCCCCCAGGATGGTCAGGGCTAATCCGGATCTGCGCCTCGTACCCACGATGCTCCCCCCAAAAAAGCACTCGACAATAACGACGGTTTCGCAATTCGCAGCCCCCAAGGAAGGCAAGGTCCAATCTGAATCTCCGCCTAGTATCCGCTGCCCCCCTTCAACAGGCTTCGAAACTGGCGACAGTTTCGCACCTCGCACCCCCCCAGGGATGGCGAGATCTAATCTGAACCCGCGCCTGGTACCCACGATGCTGCCCCACCCAACAGCCTTCGAAAATGGCGACAGTCTCGCAGTTTGCAGCCCCCTGGGCTGGCGAGGTATAATCTGAATCTCCGCCTGGTACCCACTAGCCCTGTCCCGCGGAGATTAATCCCACAGGGATAATAAAGTTCGGGATCGCTGGGGGATTATAAATGTTGCCTACTGGAGGCCAGCATGTGGGAGGAGAAAGAGATGATGTTAAGAGGACCGAAAGCCGAGAATCGAGGATCGAGAATAGAAGTCCGAGGATCGAGGATCGAGATCCTAGAGTCGAGGATCGAGGTCCGAGGATCGACGGCGGCGAGGTCCGAGGATCGAGGATCGAGGTCCGAGGGTCGAAAATCGATGATCGAGGATCGAGGTCCAGGGTGCCAGGGGGAGACGGAGGAAGACAGAGAGACAGAGACAGAAATATACATATAGTTCGACAGAAAGAGAGAGAGAGAGAGAGAGAGAGAGAGAGAGAGAGCGAGAGAAGTATATACATATAGACAGACAGAAGGAGAGAGAGAGAGAGAGGAGGATGAGGAGGAGGAGGAGGAGGAGCAGGAGGAAGAGGAGGAGGAGGAGGAGGAGAAAAGCCAAAGTTCCAAACCTATTAAATTCAATGTGTAAACAAACAATGGAAAATAAGACTTTCATCTGCTCGTGTAGGGTGCCTCATGTGCCTCGGTTTCCGTGGATAGTAAACCACAGCGATACAAAAAAAAAGTTCAGGGGGCCAGGGGGAGAAGGAGAAAGACAGAGAGAGAGAGACAAAGAGAGAGAAAGAGAGAGAGAGAGAGAAAAAGAGATAGAGAGAGAGGGAAACATAAAGCGAGAGAGGAGGAGGAAAAGGAGCAGGAGGAGGAGGAGGAGGAAGTCTCTCATCGACAAGTCTCTCGTTTCGCTGGAGACATCCTCGAAGAATTGTTGGTTCCGCTTGAGACATCCTTGAGCAACTGATCGTTTCGCTTGAGGCTGTCTCCAAAAAGTGTTGGTTTCGATTGAGACATCCTCGAAAACGTCTTCAAGTCGCCTGATGCTGCTATCTCAACATAAGAAATAAATTAACCTCGATGGTGAACTTTTCACAATAATAAACAAGTTCGGCCTCCGCGCCCCGCGCCCTGACCAAACACTTCTTGGCCGTGGATAATCAACTCTAGCCTGGAAAGGGTTTTTTTTTACAATCGGCACAAGGTTATGCTGCCCCACCCAACAGCCCTTGAACGCGGCGACAGTTTCGCAGTCCGCAGCCCCCAGGGATGGCGAGGTCTAGTCTAAAATCCGCGCCTTCTACCCACTAGGATGCCTTCACCCCACCAGCCCTCGAAACTGGCGACAGTTTCGCAGCTCGCAACGCCCAGAGACGGCGAAACGAGATCTAATCTGAACCCGCGCCTGGTACCCACTAGGTTGCCCCTCTCCCGCAGCCCTCGAAAGTGGCGACTGTTTAACAAATCGCGGCCCCCTCAAGATGGCGAGGTCCAATCTGGGTTCGCGCCTGTTGCCGACGATGCTGGCAACCCCACCAACGTTCGAATGTGGCGACCGTTTCGCAGTTCGCAGCCCCCAAGATGGCGAGGACCAATCTGAACCTCTGCCTGGTACCCACCCGCTACGCTGCCATCCTTTGCGGCACTCGAAAATGGTGACGGTCTCGCAGTTCGCAGCCCCCCAGGGATGGCGAGGTCACGTAGGACGGCGAGGTAGGATGCAGGCTGGCAGGCAGAACAGGAGAAGAGGAAGTGAGAGGCAGGAGGGAGGAGAGGAGGGAGGCGGGAGAAGGGGCATGCGACGGCAGTGCTTAATTCAAAACGAAAGCCCAACGCATGTGGGGGTGGATGTATCCATGTATGTATCTACTCTAGCGGGTTCGAGAAGCCCTGAACCCAACAATATTGTCATCTCTGTGGTGCGTATTTGTTGCTTCGTCCGCGTTGTGCCAACCTTCTGCTGGATGAGCCGCCCTCGGTCTACTTCCGCCACCTTCAGCGAGCCTTCCGCCGCCTTCCGCCAGAGAAGAGATGCCAACTCCTTCGGTCCTTGAAGGCGAAGCCCATTATTGATAGCCTCATCCCGAATCCAACATACATATATATATATATATATACATATATATATACACATCTGTAAACATACATGAATAATCATATGTGTATGCGTGTATGTATACATGTGCATACATGCATGTATATACATATGTAATATCAATATAGAGATGTGTGTAACTCGCCGCACCGCTTATCCTCGACGCGCCCAAGTGAAAGATACCGACACAACGGCAAACCCGCGGCAAACCTTGCGCCCCTCGCCAAGGGAGACGACGCCGGCACCGCGGCAAACCTCACGGCGAACCCACCGCGTCCGAGGCGGCCATTGCCCTGGTGACCGCGGCGCCCTCCCCCAGACGCAAGGCCGCGTGTCCGGTCGAACGGCGCGGAGACTTATTCATATACTACACCAAAGACAAACCCCAATCAACGGATGCTTTGAAATGGGATCGATCAAAAAATCGATAAGCAAATCGACCGGGAACCCGGGAAAACCGGAACCCACCGAAATCTGCCTGGAACCCAGGAGCCGGGAACCCAGCCGGCTACCAAAACCCAGGAACCCGGGAACCCGTGAACCCGGGAACCCGGGAACCCAGCCGGCTACCAAAATCGGCGGGAATCTTTCGCCAAATCTTTCAAGTTCCACTAGGACCCCTTCAGTGCAAGCATTGATTGCGGAATATCTACAAATATGTCGTAAAGCTTTTACCGGTGTATGATAGATTGACTCGAAGCTCGTCTCGCGCGCCAGCTCGCCTCGAGGCGCTGCACGGATCTTTCGCTGACCTCCTTGGCGGCGGCGTTGATGCCATTCCAGTTGTCGCTCTGCAACTTTTTCATCAGCCTCAAGAACTCGGGGAACGATAGCTCCTTGTTGCCGTCCTCCATCAGAGCAAAAATGAGGACCATGACCAAGATTTCGTGGGATCTTGTCGATGCGATCTTGGTCATAGTCCATGCCCGCCGTCGCCAATTGGGAACATGATTACAGCACTGACGCTGACTCAGATGGACGGTGACCGAGATCGACACAACGTTCCCGCGTTCAGCCCTGGTCAAGGTCCCATTTTTTTGTTTCCCTCTAGACCTCGTCTACCTCGGCCAGCGCGGCGCGCAAGGCGCCTCCAGCACCAGATCCCTCATCGACATGCACCAATTTGCCGAGGAGGTATCTGAGCTCCCCGTAGGACATCAGCCCGGAATTGTCGCAGTCGAAGCTGCTGAAGATGGCTCGGAACTCTTTCACCTCGTCGCGGGACAGGCCCGTTGTAATGCGAGCATCCTCTTCAAGCGCGAGCAACTCCTCGTCGGCGTCGTCTTCCATCTGCCGCATCATCCGCAGGAACTCGGGAAAATCGATCGCGCCGTCATTGCTCTGCTCCACCTCCGACAGCCAGCGAGCCACCTTTTTATAGTCATCGTTATTCCTTCGCATTTCCGGGAAGGCTTCGTCCAGCAAATTGGTAAGGCTCCTATCTGCGAGCGTGATCACGCCAGTCCCGCGGTCATGTCGTGAGAACTGTACTTGAAAGGCTCGAACATCCTCCTCGTCAAAGCCGTGGTTCTCGCGGCTTTTGTCCCTCGCTGCCCTCCAGTAGTCGAGCACTAGCCTCACCCAATCCCACCTGTCGGCAGTCCCGTGAAACTTGCTGCTGTGCTCATCCCAGACCTGCATCAACTGCCGAACGTTGAGTCTGCAATGCAAATGGCGCGCGACCGCTGAGCGGAATTCCTTCTCGGTGATCCGGCCCGGCCAGTGCAGCTGATTGCCATCGTAATGTTTCTCCAACGCTTCAATTAAGTTCTCACGGAGACGCCGCACGAGCTTGACAAACTCTACCTCGCATATGTCATCGCTCTTGTCGAAATCGAAATGGGGGATCATGTCTTGTACCTTCGTCACCGGCAATGCCCAGCCTGCTTGCCGCAGCGCGCAACTCAACGGCATCCCCGTGAGGCCCGCACTGCCACCATTACTGTACTTCCTGTAGGACTGGCGGACGTCCTCGAGGTCGCTCCGTGTGAAGCAATCCTTTGAGAAACAGACACTGCATATGCGTAAGAGTTCGGAACTCCGCGCGTATTTCTTGGATCGGCGCTGGGCCCCCCTGGCGGCGCCTCTGGCGCCGCCCCTGGTCCACCAAGAAATTCGCGCGGACCTCTAACAGTTTATGTCTATGCAGCTCGCTTCCCTACTAGAGTCTCGCTCGAAGACTCACATGTTGGTACAATTCGCATGGCGAAGGACCAAGCCATATGCAGTTGTGAATGCCGCAGTTGTGGGCGTCGTCTTCGGTGGAGCTTATGGGCCACGATGCGCTGTGCTGGGCGGGGGAAACGCATGCGAACTTTGCCATTGGAGCCGTCGGTGGAGCTCCCTATGGGCTACGAAACGCGGCACTGGGCTGGGGGGACGCATGCGGACTTTGCCAATGGGATCTTCGGTGGAGCATCCCATGGGCCACGAAACATTGTACTGGGTGGGGGAGACGCATGCAAACGTTGCCACTGGGGCCTTCGGTGGAGCTCTGGGCCACGAAACGCTGTACTGGGTGGGGGGACGCATGTGGACTGCCAGTGGGGCTGTCGGTGGAGCGTCGTGTGGGGCCACGAAACGCTGCGCTGGGTGGGGGGGACGCATCTGGACGGTGCCATTGAGGCCTTCGGTGGAGCTCCCTATTGGGCCACGAGGCGCTGTGCTGGGTGGGGAAACGCATGCGGACGGTGCCACTGGCGCCGCTGGTGAAGCTCCGCATGGGGCCACGAAGCGCTGTACTGGGTGGGGGGGGCGCATGCGTGCGGTAGCCTTGGGGCCTTTGGTGGAGCTCCCTATGGGACCACGAAATGCTGTACTGGGTGGGGGGACGCATGCGAGCGGTAGCACTGAGGCCGTCGGTGGGGGGGGGGGCGCATGTGGGCAGTAGCTCTTGGACTTTCGGTGGATCTCCTTACGGGGCCACGAAGAGCTGTACTGGGTAAAGGGGCGCATGCGTGCGGTAGCGTTCGGATCTTCGGTGAACCTCCATATAAGGCCACAAAACGCTGTAGTGTGGGGGGGACGCATGCAGGCGGTAGCACTGGGGCCGTCGGTGGAGCTCCCTCTGGGGCCACGAAACGCTGTACTGGGTGGTGGGGACGCATGCGGGCGGTAGCACTGACGCCTTAGGTGAAGCTCCCCCCATGGGGCCACGAAACGCTGTACTGGGTGAGGGGGGCGCATGCGGGCGGCAGAACTGGGGCCTTCGGTGAAGCTCCGCTTGGGGCCACGGGACGCTTTGGGGCGGACGTGTGCGGGTGGTGGTACTTGGACCTTCGGTGGGGCTCCCTATGGGGCCACGACGCGCTGTGATGGGTGGGGGGGACGCATGCGGGCGGCAGTACTGGCATCTTCGGTGCAGCTCCCTATGGGGCCACGGAACGCTGTACTGGGTGGGGGGGCGACGCATGCGGGCGGTAGCACTAGGAAGCTCCATATGGGGCCACGAAACGTGTGAGGGGTGTGCCAAAGTGAGGGGTGTGACGGGAAGAAGGATTAGGGGGAAGAGGAAGGAAGGGAGGAAGGAAGGGCAGAAGGAAAAAAGGAGAAGGAACGCGGGGCGCTGTCTTCAAAACGAGGACCCAACACCACGGGATGGTTGGGAACAGCATAGAAGAGTCCCACAAAGGGGATTCGGAGCCCGAGACCGCCTGGTCCGGAGGCGGTCTGGCAGCCGTTCCGCCAAAACGGTGGGCGTTTTTGTTCTTTTATTCGGCGTTTCGACATTGGGAGGAAGGGGGCGGGGAGGAGGGGGGTCTGGCTCCGGACCTCTGCTTAGCGCGACTGGTTGCGACAGTGCGTCTTGTGGGGGAGGCTCCACCTGCTCGAGACATGCGCCCCAAAAACAGCCAAGATCCACTCCATGGGGGGCGGAGGGGGGGGGAGTGCGAGGGCCCCGCGCTGATCGGCAAAACAACGAGTGAAGAAAGGACCACCTGTGTGGTCCAGGCGGCCACATGCCTGGTCCAGACGGCCACGACCCCCTGGACAAAATGCCCTCGGGTGGCGGACCTCCGGCTCCTCGACCCGCCTCTTCACCTCTGCCTGCTGTCAGGTAATCCCACGAGCTCTCTGGGCCTGGAGGGCGACTCGCGAGGGGAGAGGGGCGAGGGCGTCCAATCTGGCCCAAGATGGCTTCAATCCACGTGCCTCCAAGAGCCTCCACGACCGCCCCAGGACGGCTCTCAGTGCCCTCTCACCCCCCCTCGGAGGCCCCAATAAACCCGAATCCTTCAAAACCCTTGTGTTTCTGGATGTGTGCTTGCCTTCTCGCCGTTTCGCTTCCGATGAGCCCCGAAGGCCTCACGACGGCTCCAAGATGGCGTGCGACGACCCCAAGATGGGCCCCAGACGGACCCAAGACGGCCCCCAGAGCGCCCAAGACCGACCCAAGAACGCTCCAACAAGGCCAAAAAGAGGCTTACAGTATGTTAGGACCACGAGGGGGAGGACCCACTTCGACGCCGCTGTCTTGTTGATCGATGGCTTCCAGGATGGCAGCACGAGGGCCTCCAGAGTCTCCAAGAGGCCCGGCGAGAGTCCAAAGAGAGCCCTCCGAGGGTTCCAAGGGAGAGCCAATGGGGGACTAATTTCCCCCCAAGATGGCCCCACGGGGCCTCCCAGACGCTCCCACGGCGAACAATCTGCGAAGGCCTTGAGGGTTACTCCCGTCGTCGCCGTCGCCGTCGCCATCGCCGTCGCCGTGGCCGTCACCGCCACCGCCGCCGCCGCCGCCGTCGCCGCCGTCGTCGTCGTCGTCGTCGTCGACGTTGCCGTCGTCTACCCAAAAACCCGCGAAGACTGATACGTTTCACTGCTGGGCCGCATTCTCAGTACATCCCGAGCCAGGGAAACTCGACCGACGTCTGTTGTTGGATGGGCGGGTGGAGATACTTTTTTGATCGCGACCGCGGCGAAGAAAAGGCCGGGCGGCGTCCAGGGCACTGCAGACTAACAAAGGCCTAAATTAGCGCAAAGGAGGAGGAAGGGCGAAAAGAGGACAAAACCAAGCAGGGGAAGAGGCGGCTGGTGGGGGTACTTTTTTGATCGCGACCGCGAGCGGGCACCCGCGCGGCGCCGGAAAGGTCGTGCTACGAGCGGCGGCCGGGCGGGTGGGGATACGCTTTTTTAGTCAGCGGCCGCGGGCGAGCGCGCCAGCGGCGAGTCCAGTCAAAGCGGGAACGCGGGTGGGGATACTTTTTTTGGTCGCGGCCGCAGGCGAGAGCGCAAGCGGCGAGTCGTAAGGCCGGGGCGGGTGGGGATACGCGAAGCGTCAAGCATTTGACCATCGGTGGAACGCCGTGGCAGAGAGACGAGGAAGAGGGGGAGGAGGAGGAAGTAGAGGAAAGGAAGGAGGAGGCGGAGGAGGAGGAGGAGCCGTTCGTCGAATCCTGCCGCCGCATGGTATCCAGGATGTCGTAGACGTCTTCGAAGAGCAGCCCCGCCTTGCCGCCGAGCCTGCAGTCCTGGACGGCCTCGTACAGGGCCTCCGGCGGCGCCACGAAGCCCACCTAGAGCGGCCCAGGGGGACACAAACAATTCAATGGAACTCTCAAGATGTCCCATTTGTTTGTGCATAGCGGTAACGACATGACGATCGTTGGGGGCGACGGCGACAACGAGGCTTCTGTGGCCGCTGCCGCAGAATGCGGGTGCCTTCCCGCTGATCGGGCAAGCACGTTGTGCCGCTCAAGGCGGCCCTCGGTCCCGTGAGCAGCTCAAGTTGGTGGCCTGGGAGGGCTGTGAGGGTAAGGCCCACGAGAGAGCTTGAGCCCAAACGGACAGCAGACAAGAACGAAAGAGAGAGAGAGAGAGGGAAGGAGGACGCGGACAGGAGAGAGGACGGGCATCCCCAGCCCGTCCCAGCCACTTCAAACTCACGGTCTGCTCCGCCCAAGCTCCAACGTTTGAAAAGAGCTGGGGGCGTGCACAAAAACGGCATGGCGGCAACTGCATCACGATCCGCCGCGGCGACGGCGCGCTCGTCGCCTGCCTTCCCGCGGATCGGGCAGGCGCCCTGCGCTGCTTACGGCGGCCCTCGGCCAGACTGCGGCGCCGCGCGCACAGCAACACAGCTGTCGGCGCCGCGCTTCGGAGACCGTGCTGACGGGCGCTGACCCCGACCTCTGGCGCCACCTCCTCTCCTCTGGGCCAGCCTCCTCGCGCAGGCCTTCGCCTGCCCAGCTCCTGAAGCCAACGTTGCCTTGCAGCGCTTCTCGCTTCCCCCGCCCGACGTGGGGGCGCCCTCCACTTGGCCTCAAACCCACACCTCGAATCTTGGCCCAATTGGCCTGCGCCCTCTCCTCGCCAACGCTGCCGGCACGGGCGCCATCGCACGCACCCAGTCGCCCGCCGACTTCCTGCGCGCATCACGCCTTGCCTCCGGCCAACCTCTCAGCGCTCTGGGAGGGCGAGGCTCCTCATGCCTCTCCTCTCCTCCAGCCCGCAGCCTTTTGCCGGACCCGCCCAGGGCCTCCCTCGCCTGCGGGTCCTCCCCCGCGCATCAGCGTAACTCGCGTGCAGGGCCGAGACCGACTTGGCCATCGCCGCCGCGACGACCTGTGTTGTGCTGATGGCCTCCAACCAGTGCCGGTGGAATGCATTGCTGTTCCACCTCCCCCACCTCTTCACCACCTCGGCGCCCACGCAAGGGCGGCATGGCGCCGCGGCGCCTCCGATCCTCGGGGGGTGGGAGCCGAACTGCGAAGCCGGGTAGCCCTCTGCCACCGCCGCCCGCTGCAGCGCATCCTGGGTCCTCCGCCGTGGCACTGGGCTGTCATCAGCCCGCCTCGCCAGCGGGAGGTGTGCCTCCTTGCCTCCCCCCTGTGATTGCCTGGAAGTGCCCCTGGCACAGCTCGGCTGCCCGCGCTGGGCAGATCTCGCCACCTGCCTGGTCGCGGTTCCTTGCCATGCCCGCGCCGTCTGGTCCGTCTTGCTCGCCTTGAACCACGGCGACACCTCGTCGGCTCGCGCGACATGATGCGCTGGGCCGCCCTTGAGCTTCGCCGCCGCATCCAATCCCATCAACACCCTGCGATGATCCCAATAGCCGGCTTTTCCGCGCTCTCCGACCCACATCAAGAACAGGAGAGAAGAGATGATCAGGCCATAGAGCGCCGCGCCTTCTGGGTCGGACTCGGCGTTCAGACGCGCCCTGATGTTCTCGAGCATGCGGACCGCGACCGTCAAATCCCTCGCTCCTGGGCCTTGCAACCTCTGGATGCCGTTCAGCGCCATCTGCAGTCGAGACTCGCCCACCAGTGGGTCCGGCTCGCCAAGCGACGCGCGCTGAGCTCGCGCTCCCAGCAGCGCGAGACGGGGACTCGTGCGTCCCGTGGAGGGTCGTTTCACGGGCGGAGCGGTCAGCAGCAGACTCAACCTCCCCAGGGGGTCGCGCGAGCCATGATCTGGCACGCGCGCGCGAGGAACGATTTAAAGAGTGGATATATGTATATGTATGTAAATGTGGGGTACATATATATATATATATATATACGAGTATTGTGATGGGTCCATGTTAACTATAGTTTAACACGGGCTTTGTTTTTTTGCTCGCAATCAGTATTTCGACACGCGCGTTGTCTCCAGGATTGCGAGTAGAACGATGCAGAGTGTATAACATACTTCTCGCACAAGAACAGCAGCAGCGCCAGGAGGGCACCGTTTTCAAGTGGAGCCGCCATCCAGTCGAGCAACTGCTGCAGGCGTTCAAAAGCAAAAACCATGAGCTCGCACCGTTTCGAAAGGGAGCCGTTCTCCATCATCTGGCGTCGCTCCACTGCGGGCCCCCCACCCTCCCTCTCCATTCCTCCTCCCCGCAGCTCCTGCTTTGTTTTGGTTAAGGCGTTCGGCCCATACTACAGAACATGGCCGCTCGAGGTCGCAGCAATTGCTGCGCGGCACAAGGCTGCACAAGATGTTCTGCGCTATCTGGTTTCCCATGGCGCGGGTCACCCCCCTCCCCACTCGTGCGTTCATGCTTTGTTCTCGGGCCGTTCGGGCCAGAACGAACTCGCGGCTGGTGCGCGACGTCCCCACGCGAGGGGGGGGGGGACCCGACGAAACCAACAGCAGCAGAACTAGTTGCACGCAAAGCCTACTCCTCTTCCTCCTCCTCCTCCTCCTCCTCCTCCTCCTCCTCCTCCTCCTACTCGTCCTCCTTCCTCTTCCCTCGTGCCTCCATTCTTGCCTCGTTATTCCCTCGCCTCCATTCACTCTCCGTTATTATCATCTTTTCCGCGTCATCGACCCTGGTCGCCCTGCTCACTGTTCCCATCCTCTCCATCCTCATCTCGTTCCTCGTCCACTTCCCCGTTCCTGCTTTCCTCTCCCCCCCGAGGCAGCGCTCCCCCCCGTGGATATTCGAGCAATCGAGCTGTTTCCCCGCATCCTGAATGGGGTTCTTGCTTTCCCAGGACATCTTCTCCTTCTCCCTCCCGCCTCCCGCCTCCCACGTGCCCCTCCCACCCCTCCAGGGAGGCCCCGCCTGAGCGAGGAAGGTATCGGAAAACCATACGATGTACATGGTTTCGTGCCCCTACCACCCCTCCAGGGACGCCCCGCCTGAGCGAGGAGGGTATCTGAAAACCATACTATTTCCATGGCTTCGTGCCCCTCCCACTCCTCCAGGGAGGCCCCGCCTGAGCGAGGGTATCGGAAACCCATACTATTTACATGGTTGCGTGCCCCTCCCACCCCTCCAGGAACGCCCCGCCTGAGCGAGGAGGGTATCGGAAACCCATACTATTTACATGGTTTCGTGCCCCTCCCACCCCTCCAAGGAGACCCCGCCTGAGCGAGGAGGGTATCAGAAACCCATACTATTTACACGGTTTCGTGCCCCTTCCACCCCTCCAGGGAGGCCCGCCTGAGCGAGGAGGGTATCTGAAAACCATACTATTTCCATGGCTTCGTGCCCCTCCCACCCCTCCAGGGAGGCCCCGCCTGAGCGAGGAGGGTATCTGAAACCCTTACTATTTACATGGTTGCGTGCCCCTACCACCCCTCCAGGGAGGCCCCGCCTGAGCGAGGAGGGTATCGGAACACCATACTATTCACATGGTTTCGTGCCTTTCCCACCCCTCCAGGGAGGCTCCGCCTGAGCGAGGAGGGTATCCGAAAACCATACTATTCACATGGTTTCGTGCCCCTCCCACCCCCCCAGGGAGGCCCCGCCTGAGCGAGGAGGGTATCGGAAAACTATAGTACTTACATGGTTGCGTGCCCCTCCCACCCCTCCAGGGAGGCCCCTCCTCCTCCTCCTCCTCCTTCTCCTCCTCCTCCTCCTTCTCCAGGAGGGTATCGGAAAACAGTAGTTTACACGGTTTCGTGCCCCCCCTCCACTCCTCCAGAGAGGCCGCGCTTGAATGAGGAAGGTCGCGGAAAGCATTACTCTTTACCAGGTTTCGTAGCCCTCCCCCTTCCACTGGGGCCCCGCCAGAGCGAGGAGGGTACTAAGAAACCGTATTATTTACAAGGCTTCGTTTCCTGAGCACCTGTTCTCTCTCCTCCCTTCTTTCGTTTGCCCTTTCTTGCGTACTTAATCGTTCGATGAGCTTCTCCTTCGTGTTGATGTTGTCGTGCCCCATGGGTCCCACGAAACCGTTAATATCTTTATGTGGGGTACTCCGTTAGCATAATTTTAAGCAGGAGAAGGGTGGCGATGGCGAGGATGGGGACACGCGTATGGATGACGAGACGAACCGCGAGGAGGCAACACTTATGAGGTAAATCTCGAGGGTGGGTGGGGGCAGTCTGTCAGTCTGTCGTCGTCGTCGTCGTCACCTTCCGTCTCCTCATCCTCCTTCTCTTCTCGCCTTCCCTCCTGTCCCCTCATCAAGATCCGACTCCTCCCCCTCTAATTCGGTTCCTCCTTCCTGCCCGCGCTCGCATGCCTTTCCGCCACCTCCAAAGAATTTTGGGGGCCGGCGTAACTACCGCGCCGCCTCGTGGGAGAGGAGGGGGATGGCGAGGAAGGATGGGGCGGGGTGTGTTGCTCGAGGCCTGCCAAACGCAGAGGCCTGCCGATCAAGATGCCCAGGGCAGTGGCGAGGAAGTGCATGCCATAGCACATCACGACCACGACCAGAACAGCCAGAAATGCCAGCAATGCCCAGAACACGAACGGGCAGCAACCGCCGAAAGCGACCCTCCCCGCAGTCGGTGGCCGCCGCTCCTCCGATGAGGCCTGCTCCTCCTGACCAGATCTGGCGCCAGACCGAGGGCCCCCAGTCGGTGACGAACCCGCCAGCCTAGGTGCCCGCGAATGCGAGGTGGCTGTGCACGACCACCAGCCTTCCTCGGACCCGTCCCTCCTCGCCGAGAGGCGGTGGGCCCTCGGGCCCAGGGCCCCTGCCCCCCGACGTGCGAACCACCCTCCTTCTTGTGCCCGCCTCGACGCCGCCTTGGAAGGAGGGCCCTCGCCCCTTTCCTCCTCCTGGCCGTGCTCGTCCGCCTCCGCCAGCGTCGACGACGTGTCGCCGTGGCCTCTCTGGGGCCACTCGGCCGCCTCGCCCCTGGCGCTCCGCGGAGGACAGCAACTCGTCCTCCTCGCCGGTGCCTTGCACTCTGCGTGCATGCCCACCCGCACCATCCAGGATCGGGTGCACGTCCTCGCCTTCCAGCGTCGGCTGCCTGCGGGAGCGAGGGGGGGGGCGGCGCCTGTGACCCCACGACCGAGGCCCGCGGCCGCCCAAAGCCCGCTGATGTCGTGCGCACGACCGCGGCCATCTGCGCAGCCCGGGGGCCCGGCGCCGCGATCGCGCGTGGCTGGCGCGGCTGGCCCAGCAGGTGGTCGGGGGGCTGGGGACGGGGGTGAATGCACACGGGGGTCAGCGAGAGCGCTGGATCTTGAAGGATCCTGCAGCTCCAGGGTCGCATTGGCCCTGGCTTGTGTGCAGGATCCGGCATCATCCTTTGCATTGACCCGGGTTTGGGTGCAGGATCTTGCAGGATCCTGCAAAGCCTTACTGACCCGGGTTCTGGATTGGCCCGGGTCAGCAGATCCCCGAGGTGGGCGGGGCGGCGTTGCGCCCGAGGGCAGCAAAAGAGACTACGGACTACGGTGCTGCCGCGCGGGCGCGGAGTCGGAATCGGGGCGCAGCGCTCCCCGTGAGCCGCCGCCGGGGGCCCGCAGGGTGCCTGGGGCCTTGGAAGGCCCCGAGAGCAACTTGAGCCCAAATAAACAGCAGGCAAGAGAGAGAGAGAGAGGAGAGAGAGAGTGCGAACACGGACGTGAGAGAGAACGGGCACCCCCAGCCCGTCCCAGCCGCTCAAAACCTTACGTTCTGCTTCGCCCGAGCTCTCACGATTGTCCTCTTCCCCTCGATCTCCCATGTGATCCCACCCCTGCATGAAAACTGACGCTGTTCGCGTTTGTGCCGACTTTCCCCCTCCTGTCCGCCTGTCCCACGAAGTTCTGAAGCTCTGAGGGCTCCAAGTTGCCGTCCTGGGAGCTCTCGCCTGCCTCGCCCTGATCGTGGGAGCTGAATGCGCCCCTCACCGCCTCGACTTGGGTTCCACTTGATCTCCGACATAGCGTCTCGCTATGGGGCTCTAGGGTTAGGTCGGGCATGTCGTCCTACAGACGGATTTGGGCCGAAAAGAAAAAATAATCCAGACATGCTCAAACATATTCAAGAATGGTGAAACATTGCCCCCAGACTATTTGTTGACTATGATTGCAGATTCCTCCTGTAGAGGGACAGGCCCGATTTAACTCTAGGGGACGGGGAGACCTAGACCGCCTGGTCTGGCAGCCGTTTCGCCTGAGACTGCACAGATTATTCCAGAAGCGTGCTGTCGCCCCAATGCCGGCCACATGCTCGGCTCGGACGCCGACGATCCCTGGTTGATAACTACTGTGGTGAACCTGGCGGCATGTGTTGCTGCTTTCCGGGTGCCTTGCTGGGGTGATCCCATCAGCCCTTTAGGGCGTGAGTCGTTCAGAGAGCTTCCAATTCCAACCCCTTCCTTCCCTTCGGGGAGGGGTTGACCCCCCCCTCCCTCACCCTGGATCTGGAAGGGGGGGGGCGACGAGGTGTCAGAAGGCGGTGTTGGGCTCAAGATGGATCCAAGAGGGCCTCCGAGAACCCAAGATGACCTCCACCAGATGGACCAAGATCGTGCAAGATCGCTCAAGGCGGCTTCGAACATGCTCCAAGAGATCCCAAAACCAATCCAGGACGAGTACCAGTGGCCTCGGAGCCTCCCAAGGAGGCCCCCAAGAGGCCGAAATCTTTCGAACACCGATGGGACATCGATGATTTCAGCCTTCTCGCGCTTTCGCTTCCGATGGGCTCCCGAGGCCACAGGACGCGCCCAGAAGCGCCCCAGGAGGGCCCCAAGAGGCGACTTTGGGAGCTCCAGAGGGGCGACGCTAATTAAGTACACCCGTTCTTTGATCAGCAAAAAAATCGAACACACACACAAGGGAGTTCAAAGGTTTTTGCTTTTCGGATGTATCCTTCGGAGGCTTTTGGCCCATGGGGGCTCCAAGGTGTCCCCAGACTCTTAAAGATGGCCTCCAAGATGCCGCAGTGTGATCCAAGTTGGCCAACGATGGCGTCCAAGATACCTTCAGTAGGCCCCATGATTGCCCCAAGATGGCTCCAAGTAGCCACAGAGACTCCCAAGGAGGCCCCGAAGAGGCCTAAAGCTATCCAAAACCGAAGAGAAATCACTGATGTTGGCCCTATCCCCCTTTCGCTTCTGATGGACTCCCGAGGCCTCAAGATGGCTCCAAGATGGCTCAAGAGGACCCCATGAGAGACCCAAGACGGCCCCAAGACGGCCCCAAGAGCGCCCAAGAGCGCCATAAGAGCGCCCCAGGAGGGCCCCAAGAGGCGACTTGGGAGCTCCAGAGAGGGGGGGCCCGAATAAGTACCTCCCCTCTTTGAGCGATATACTCCCAGATCTTCCGAAAAAGGCGTCCAAGACCCCCAAGAGAATTCCAACATGGCCCAAAGAGACGCCCAAGCGGCCCCAAGAGGCCCACGAGACGGCCCCGAAAGGCTCCCAACCGGCTCCCAGGAGGCGTCACATTCCTGATCAACGCAACTCGTCTGGGCATCGTTCCTGGATGGGCAGGTGGGGTTACTTTTTTTGGTCGCAGCCACCAGCGAGCGCGCAAGCGGCGAGAGAAAGCAGGTGGGGTTACGCGAAGCGCCTAGAATAATTTTAAGACTCTGGGACGCCAAATTGGACCCGCGTGCGTCAGGTGGGCGTGTGGGGTAGCTGCGCATGCCAAGGAAGTGCACATTAAGATCTAGATACTAATGTTTTTGAGTATGCCCAGACAAGTGTAGAGTGGTCTCTTTGGGTATGGCCGTCTTGGGTATGGTCTTTTTGGGCATGCCTCAACGAGTTCAGAGTGGTTGCGTATCAAAGGGAAACCAAGCCTTGACCCACTGCTCCCGCAGTGCCCGCATCAGGACGAGGAAGTCCCTCCCACGGGGCGCTGCAGACGGAGGGCCGTCCTCGAGTCTGATCTCCTGGGGCACCTCCCAATGCTTGATAGATGCGGGAAATCCGAGCCACTTGGTGCACAGCCGGAGCTCCTCGAGTCCATCCTCGCCAAGGTCGGTGCAGGCGAGAGCAGGGAAACGAGCAAGAATGTCCCTCACCAACACGTCTGCTTCGCTCAGAGTGAAGCCGGCTCGCTCCCAGACAATGCGGTTCAGGATCGCGAACTGGTCAAAGTCTAGTGGCGTGCGCTGCTTGTTGTTGCAAACCTCTGCCATGAACTCCTCGACCACTCCCTTGACAGGCGTGATCCCCATGTTCCGTAGAAACTGTGCCACCTCGGCCTGTCCGAGCCTTCCAACGTTGCGCCGGTCCACGGAGCTAAACCTCTCGCTCATGCAACTCATGAAGAGCTCCTGGTACTTGCCAGCAAAGACGGCAAACTCCCTCCTGTCTAGGAAAGCGACGCTGTTGAACTGGCTGCGCACCAAGTCCTCGATCCACTCCTGGTTGATCATCCAGTGGCCCAGCTGCGAGCATGCCTCCGACAGGTGGTCGGTGAGGATTTCGCCGTGCACAGACAAGGTCTTGAACACCTTCATGACCGCGGGGTCGAAGTCGAGCTCTCGCGTGACGCTCAGCTGCTTAAGACTCTGCGAATCCGTCATGAACCTCTGCGCGTCCCACACCGTGCTCACCGAGGCCCTGTGGGACACCTTGCGCGCCAAACAGGCCTCCGGAGCCCGGACTAAATCAGTTACGACCCGGTACGGTATGTCCTCGTGAGGAAACCAAATATACCGATACCGCTACTCCACTGCCCTCTCCGGGGGTGCGTTCTGACAAACATTTCTAAGCGAATCCAGCCGTGGCGACGAGGGCCTCCCAGGCGGCCGCAAAGGCGAAAACGAGGCGAGGGTAAGTGCATCGGTATCTTTTCCTTCTTTGACGACCTCGTGGCGAAAGATGTTGATCAGAAGCTGAGCTCTCGTATCCAGCGTGACCCACTCAGCCCAGCTGTCCGCATCTGGGCGCCTGAAGTGCGCCAGAAGGTGCGTTGAGCCAGGCGGCGCAGGCGTTGTCAGGGCGCTCCTCTCCACGATCTTCGCCGCGTGACTGCGGCCCTCGATGTCGAACTCGATGGTGTCTACGTCCACCTGCTGGAGGGCTTCCCTCGTGCGGAGGAAGGCCTCCAGGGCGGCGGCCGCCAACGACGCGGCCTCGGCCACGGAGAGGCCACTCCGCTCGAGCTGCTCCCACGACGCGAGGCTCGTGAAGAAGAGCCTGTCCATGAGCCGCTGTTCGAAGAACGAAAACACGCAGTAAGCATGGACCGTCGGAGCTCCGCGCGGCTGCGTTGCATCGGCGATGAGTGCCCAGACGGCGCCTCCGGCGCGATCCGCGCGCCACTGAGGGGACTCCAGCGCCGATCCAATACATCCGCGCTGAGCTCCGGTAGTTTCTGTTCATGCAAGTTTTCGTTTTTCGAGCTGTGGAAACTGGCGGAGCAGACCGATTCGCCCCGCTGCGTCGTGGGCCAGCGGCAGCAGGCTCGCGCCCCTCGCTGCCGCCGCGGCGGCTACTTCCTCGACGTCGGGCCCGGACCCGAGCGTGAAGTAGAGGTCACCCAACTGGGCGAACACGTCCTGGCTCTCGGACTCGGTGCGGCCCGCGTGAATAATTTCCTCAGAGGTCCTAAACATACATGTTCCCCCAACAGTCCTGTGGGGTTTGGTCCTCAGTTTGAGTCAGCAGCGCCCCGCGTTCCCGCTCCTCCTCTTATCAAATCCTTTTCCGTCTGAGTAAGTCTTCCCTGTCGCACCCCAAAGACGGTCGAAAGGGCGGGCCAGGCGCTTCGCCTGAAACTTCATCACCATGTATTACCCTGCAGCTCAAAATCGTGAGAATCTTCAGGGACGGAAGGCGGGTCGGTTAAAACATGTGACGCTCGCCGAAGCGCCGCGCACAATCGTTTTAAACATGTGCATGGGTTTCACGGATGGGGGACGGGTGGTTTTCAACATGTGCCTCTCGCCTTAGCGTTGCGCACCTTCAACTCAAACAATGAGACCTGTTCACATATACATCGCGCGCCACACGCGTCCGTCTTACCACGTTGCAGGAGCTTCACGGATGGAGGGCGGCTCCTTTCTTAAATGCGATGATCGCCTTAGCCCCGCGCGCGCGCTGCAGTTCAAGAACTCGCATGGCTAGCGTCCCAGCACATGTGTTTTGGAACGGCCTCCTCGTCCTCGTCTTCATCCTCCTCCTCCTTCTCCTCCTCCTCCTCCTCCTCCTTCTCGTCGTCGTCTTCCTCCTCCTCCTCCTGCTCCTCCTCCTCCTCCGCCTCCTCCTCCTCCTCCGCCTCCTACCCCCCTCCCCCCCCAACCTCTCAATTCGGCACCCCCCTCGCTCGCTTCCAGGCCCCATAGGGAGCCCCAACTAAGGCCCCAATGCCAAAGTTCACATGGGCTCCCGCCTCCCATTTCGACACACCCCTAGCACGCTTCATGACCCCATATGATCCCCGGCTAAGGCCCACGTGCCAAATGAGCCCCCGCCTTCAAGTTCAATACGCCCTGGCACGTTTCGTAGCCCACAGGGAGCCCTATCTAAGGCCCAAGTGCCAAGGTTCAAATGAGCTCCCACCTCTCAATTCGGCACACCCCTTGCACATCTCGTGGCCCCATGGGGCCATGGGGAGCACCAACGAGGGCCCACATGCCAAGGTTCGCATGCGTTCCCGCCTCTCATTTCAGAACACCCCTCGCGCGCTTCGTGGCCCCATGGGGTGAGCGCAACTAAGGCCCAAACGGAAAGTTCAAGTGAGCTCCCGCCTCTCAGTTCGGCACACTCCGCGCAAACTTCGTGGCCCCATAGGGAGCTCCAGCTGAGGCCCACATGCAAAATTCACATGAGCTCCCGCTTGTCATGTCGGTGAATCCCTCGCACGCTTCGTGGCCCCACAGGGAGTTCCAGCTGAGCGCGTCCCATTTCGGCACGGACCCCACGCGTTTCGTGGCCCTGTAGGGGCCCCAACTAAGGCCCAATTACCACGCCCCGCATCAAGGGGACCCGAATTAATGCCCAGATGCCACGGTTCGCATGAAGCTCCCGCCTTTCATTTCGGCACACCCCTCGCACATCCCGTGGTCCGACAGGGAGCCCCAACTAAGGCCCAAAAGACAGGGTTCGCGTGAGCTCCCGCCTGTCAGGTCGTCTCAGCCCTCACACGCTTCGTGGAGCCGTAGGGAACTCCAAGCAAGGCCCAGATGCCAGGGATTGCGTGAGCTCTTTCGGGACCACCAGCGCGCGTCGCACGGACTCACCATGCGCTGTGCCTCCACGACCTGCCCTTGCGCCTTGGAACGGAAGCGACATCTGCATGACTTGCGGGCGCCTGAGAGAAAGCACTCTCCGAGCACCCGCTCGCTCCCCAGCTCGCGCCCCCACCCCGCCATGCCCTTGCCTCTGCCCATCCTCTCCGTGCCCCAGTCCTTGATGCTCACCCCTTCCCTTTGTGCTCGCAGTTGCGTGTCATTGGGCACTTCGTCAGGAGAAGTTGGTCAGCGGTGAGGGCCCACGACAACGCGTTCGGTCAGCGGACGGGCGCCGCTGAACAGAGGCACGCTGGACAAGTGTTACAACAGAAGGGCGGCCGCGAGGGAGAGGCCTCAGGCGTAGATACTCTTCGCGACCAGGAGTGCGCATGCGGTCTCAAGCGCTGAACAACGTTGTGCTAGAAGGTGAGCGGCCAGTGCGAGAGGTCAACTTCGGAGGTCCGTACGGATATCTTGGATCGGCTGTGGACCCCCCTCCCTGGCGCCGGGGGCGGCGCCAAGGGGGCCCACCACAGATCCCAGGAAGCCGCGCGGAGCTCCAAACACATGCATCAGTCTCTTCTTCTTCCACTCCTGGTCGACGGAGCCCGGCAGAGTGCTGCGCACGTGGTCGGGCAGCACGCTCCACAGCGGGATGCCGTGCGAGGACTGCCCGTACGCGAGGCCGAAGGCCTCGGTCAGGCTGGGCTCCCCGGCCAGCAAGACGAGCCCCCTCTCGCCGAGCGGCGCGATCGCGGCCGCCAGGGCGCCCGCCATCTCCCTCGCTGATGACACGACGCCCTCGGAGCCGAAGAAGATGCAGATCCGCGGAGGTCCGTCCGCCGGCTCGTCCGACACGTGGGGCAGCAGCTCGCGTGCAGCCTCTCTCGCCCCCACCCGGCGGGAGGCGGCCCGGGCCACGGCCTGGGCAAAGCCCCTTGCGGCCGCTCTTGCCTTGGAGTGCTGACGCACGACCGGGATGCCGCCGTCCGCATGGGCCGAGGGAGGAAAACTGCATGCGGTAGCCAGAGTGGAACCAAAGCAGAGGTCGTTTGCAACCTGCGCGGTGCAGTCCAGGTGGCGCAATCAATGTGTTGCAATCTGGATGGTGCAGGCTGTAGTACAAACAACGCAAAGCAAAGCAACGCAACGCAATGCAACGCGATGCAAAGCGATGCAATGCTGTGCAAGGCAAGTTGATGCAACGCAGTGCGATGCAAAGCCATGAAGAGCAGTGCGAATCAATGCGATGCGATGCCGAGCACTGCATCGCCATATGCGATGCAGAGCAGTGCAGAGCAACGCAGAGCGACGCGCAACAATGCAAGGCACGGCAACACCGGGCGATGCAACGCCGTGCAGAGCAACGCGGCGCCAAATGGCGGGCGGCCACGGACGGCGGCGCCGGCGGCGACGGTCGGCGGCAGGCGGCCGCAAGCCGGCCGGGGCGGCTCCCGGACCCAAGTACGGCGGCGACGGACGGCGGCGACGGGCGACCACGAGCTGGCCGGGGCGGCACTGGGGCCCAGGTACGGAGCCGCGCGACGGGCGGCGGCGACGGACGGCCACAAGCTGGCCGGGGCGGCACTGGGGCCGAGTTACCTCAGAAGCCAGGTAAAAAGACCCCTGAGTGCAAGCACTGTGTGGGGACAGAGTGCAGGAGGCCGCGCGGGCTGCGGCGCCGGAGGCGCCACGAGAAGGGCCCGGTGCCGCTCCAAGGAAACCGCATGGACCTCTGACAATCTCTGCTTTTCCTAGGCTGGGCAATCGGCGTGGCCGTTGAGCGGTGTGGTTTGGATGCTGGTTTTATGAGGGGGCCGAGCACAATCAACAACCGTAAACTCGTTTTTCTCTGTTCTGCACGACGCGAACAGGTCTGAGACCGCACCACGCAGTTTCGGACCGCACTGTTTGCTCGTCTTCTTGGGCTACCGCTAAGGGTATTAGGCGATGTCAACTTAATGGTGGGGTGTACCTGGCCTCATATGGCATAGAAGTTGGTTACAAGTGCCCTTGCAGGTCCAAATCCAGGCTAGCTTAGGAGGGGTACACATCCGGGCTAAGTGGGCGGAGCCCACTTGGCGGAACCATCAAACCACCCTGAGCCACTCAGGGAGATTGTACCCACTAGTAAGCTGGGCTTGACCAGACATAACCCACCTTAGCCTGCCTGCACTTAGAGACTCCCTATCCGCTGAGAACCCCCCCGCGGTGATCCAAATGCGGGTCTTCTTGGAACTCAGGCCTTCTTTGACCCCGAACGGATCTTCTTTTTCGTCTAGGGTCCCTTTTCGACGGTCCAGGAGCCGAGAACTGTTCCCAGGAGGCTCCAGCACAGATCCAAGCAATCCGCGCGGAACTCCGAAAAGTCATGCTTATTTCATGGGCTCTTCTGCGAGACCAGACCCTCTGTTGTTTCCTCCGAGTTGGTTCGGAAGCAACTCCTGGGAGGTTTTCGCAAGAACGATGACGGACAATCCAGCCCGATTAAAGGGCCACTATGCTGGGCTAGGCTAGAATAAGCCCAAGATTCCAGCAGACTAAACGGGATTCAGCTGGACTTCACGGGATTATACTGGATTGGGCCACTCCTCAGCCACGGACATACCCGCGCCGATGCTGAGTCTAACCTCCCAGGAGCTGCATCCTGAGATCTGGGATCATGCAGTCTGTTTCCTCCTTCGCGATGGCGCGCCGCGTCCGAGACCTGCCGCGAGACGCAGCTCAACTTGGTGTCGCGCCTGCCGGACGGCGGGCGGCTGCCGTCGGAGGGTGGCGCCTCGCGGGGGCCCCGGGGGGACAGCGGGGGTTCGGGTCAAATCGGGACCGTCGGGTTGCGGGAGGCAGCTGCTGGAAGGTCTCCGCAAGACCAGCTGAGGGTCAACACGCCCGATCGAAGGGCCGCCGAGTCGGACGAGCCCGGATGAAGCGGGGGGTGGAGCTGGATTGCAGCCACGACGCTAAAATAAGGACCGCTTTGTCGTCATCATCATTATCACCACCATCGTCATCATCATCAGCATCATCATCCTCATCCTAATCCTAATCCTCATCCTCATCCTCATCCTCATCCTCATGCTCATGCATCATCATCATCATCATCATCATCATCATCATCATCATCATCATCATCATCATCATCATCATCATCATCATCATCATCATCATCATCATCATCATCATCATCATCATCATCAGCATCAGCATCAGCATCAGCATCATCAGCATCATCAGCATCATCAGCATCATCAGCATCATCAGCATCATCAGCATCATCATCATCATCATCATCATCATCATCATCATCCTCATCATCCTCATCATCCTCATCCTCATCCTCATCCTCATCCTCATCCTCATCCTCATCCTCATCCTCATCCTCATCCTCCTCATCCTCATCCTCATCCTCATCATCATCATCATCATCATCATCATCATCATCATCATCCTCATCATCATCATCATCATCATCATCATCATCATCTTCATCTGAAACACCCCGGACCGGCGGCACTGGCCGGAGGCCAGCACAATAAGGACCGACTTGCGCTCACGAGAGGCTCGGGTTCTCGAGCCGGTCCTTCGAGCTCTGTCGTGGAGCCTGCTTGTGGTGGCCTAGGCTCGCCGTGGTCAGAAAGGACCCTTCGTTCCCTCCTCCTCCTCCTCCTCTTCCTCCTCCTCCTCCTCCTCATTCTCCTCCTCTTCCTCCTCCTCCACCTCCTCCTCCTCCTCCTCCTCCTCCTCCTCCTCCTATGTTGGTTTGGCCAGAAAACAAACGACACCACCCCACCTACGGTCCCACGGGACTTAGCATATACCAGGAGATGTGGCGTGGGTTTTTGCATGGTTACATGATATACGCTACGACCCCCAACGAGCCGTAGCGCAACATGGAGGGCCGTACTTGGGGTGGTGTCGTTTGTTGTTTGGTCGAATGGTAGCGCGATGACTGCATGTGGTATGAAGCTGGGTTTAGCAGCACGTTGCACGATGAGGCCACTCTTCGACCACGGATACGTCAGAGCCATCGGATCGTGAGATCGGATGGAATCGGGACCAAGGCGTTGCAATCATCTTCACGCCTGGCATTTTCGTCCAGATTCGGGCCCGGAACTCCCGGGACGGGGGCAGGACCCCCCCCCCGGATCGATCGGATCGAAGAGGGAACCACCCACATCGGATCCTCGATCGGATCGGATCGATCATGATCCTGGTCGTGATCGGATCGAGGAGGGATCGTGATCGATCGGATCAGATCGGATCCTCGATCGCCCCCAGGATCGACCGATTCGCGCCTTGTAAGAAGCAGGGGTGCTTCTAAGAAACCTTCCCCCCTCCCCCGTATCCCCCTCTGCGCGTGGCCGAGTCTGAAGTCAGACTCGGGTTCGGGGGACTCGGGCTGGCCTGACGGGGCCACCATAGAACAGACGAGGCCCAGTCTGAAACTTGACGCGAACTCCCGCTGGAGACGTCCCACGACAACAGGACCGTGAACATCCAGCAGGCGCTGGTCACAAAGCGTGGGCAAACCCGACTTCTTGATCCAGGGTGTTGGGTGCCCACGTCCACCCCCCAGATGGTATGGGTCCCAGGGTTCCCACATGCCCCCCCCCAGATGGTCTTGGGGGGTGGGAGGGGGCGGCGGCGACGACGACTGCAACGACGACGGCGACGGAGACAGCGGCGCGACGGCGACGACGACGGCGAAGACGACGGCGAAGCGAAGACGACGACGAAACGGCGACGACGACAGCGGCGACGGCGGCGACGACGACTGCGAAGACGATGACGACGACGATGACGGCGGCGACGACGACAGCGAAGACGACGACGATGACGGCGCTGCTTTTGCTGACGACTGCGCCAGAGACACGAACGAGCACGCGCACGCGCACGCGCACGACGCACGCACGCACGCACGCACGCACGCACGCACGCACGCACAAAAACACACACACACACGCACACGCACACGCACACGCACACGCACACACAACCATCACGCAGCACACCGTACCACACCGGACGTGCGCAAACCACCACACCACAGCACACCACCACACTACGCCACACCCACAGGGGGGGGGGCGGGGGGACACGCACGTACGCACGCACGCGCGCGCGAACCACCACACCACCACACCACGCCGCACCCACAGGGGGGGGGGGGGCGGGGGGACACGCATGTACGTACGCACGCACGTGCGCAAACCACCACACCACACCACACCACACCACCGGGGGGGGGGCACCCATCATGGTGGGGGATGGTGGGGCTGGACACCACCATGCCATCTGGTGGGGGGGGTGGGGAGGAGGGCAGACCCTGGACCATATATGTTTGGCCCTCGGGGGCCAAACATATAACCATATCCACCGCCTGTGGAGGTCCGCGAAAATTGATTATCCAGACGGTGGCTATGTATCACCCCCCGCCTCGAAGAGTCTCACATTTCCACACTTCCCCGAGACAAGCCCCGGGATCGACAATGGCGACTTGAATCTCATGTTTCGGGCGGGTGGTAATGAGGGTGGTCTACATGGGGGGTGAAGAAGAGGGGCCTAAAAGGCCCTTTGAGGGCCCTTTTCCTCACACCCCTGTGGGTCAACCCCCACATCGGGGAGACGTAAGACTCGGGTACAGGGGACTCGGGTTGGCCTGACTGGGGCAATCAAACAAATGACGAGACCCAATCTGAAATCTGACGCGGGCTCCTGCTGCAACCATCCCACGAAAACTGGACCGTCAGACTCCAGGACACGCTCGTCAAAAGACGGCGGCAAACCCGAGTTCCGGCCTGCTCGAGTCTTACGTTACCACGGCCATACACCACCCGCCCGAAAGTTTCCCCGAGACAGACCCCGGCGGAGGAGGAGGAGGAGGAGAAGGAAAAGGAGGAGGGAGGAGGAGGAGGAGGAGGAGGAGGAGGAGGAGGAGGAGGAGGAGGAGGTGAGGAGGAGGAGGAGGAGGAGGGAGGAGGGAGGAGGAGAGGAGGAGGGGAGGAGGAGGGAGGAGGAGGAGGAGGAGGAGGAGGAGGAGGAGGAGATGAGGAGAGGAGGAGGAGGAGGAGGAGGAGGAGGAGGAGGAGGAGGAGGAGGAGGGAGGAGGGAGGAGGAGGAGGAGGAGGAGGAGGGGAGGAGGAGGAGGAGGAGGAGGAGGGGAGGAGGAGGAGGAGGAGGAGGAGGAGGAGGAGGAGGAGGAGGGAGGAGGAGGGAGGAGCAGGAGGGGGGCCCCGCCTCGAGGAGCAGGGGCTCCAGCTGACCCTGCGACCGCCGGCGCCGCGCCGGCGGCCAGGCGGGGCGGCGCACCTCGGCGGGTGCACACGGGGGCAGCTCCACGCCACGAGAGCCTCGGAACAGACTCCAAATTTCTCATGAAATCGACCCACCCCTGAAAAACTGGACCCCCCTCCACATGCGACCCAATATTCCGGACCCACCTCTTCGACGGGGCGCCTTGATAAACCGGACTCCCTAAGCTCCAATCCAAAGAAAACGCCCTAATAAATCGGACCCCCCCAATAAGAAAAAAAGGCGCCTTAAAAATCCGGAGCCGGGGGACGACCAATAAGGGATTTGGAGTACGGTGCGGGTCTCTCTGCCGACGGTATAAGGAGAGCATGAGGTGGCCTATCCAAGGCCGGGCTTTGTAACAGCGACGTTGCTGAACGGTGATGTTGGGAACCAAGCCGTAAGATATCGCGAACCACACTTTCCTGCATTTGCAATATGCGGATGGATCAAACGAAAACGACACAGCGAGATGTAGGAACGCGCGAGCCACAGCAGGGGGGAAACAATTAGTGGACACTTCCCCGCTCCCCAAAACTCAAAATTGGCACTAGCATCCACTTGCACCCCCCTATCCTGTGAGCAACCCACGGGGTGATCCAAATCCGCCGACGCTGTCCGCGTGTGTGAGAGTCTTTTCCGTTTGAGTCGTCGTCATCGCCGCTTCCCCTCACGCGTTCCATCCAGAAAGAAACCGAACAATGTCGTAATCGAGTCGAAGGGAAACCGCTTCCCGTTTATCCCTCCACCGCTGGGGGGAGGGAAGGGGGGGGGTTACGGGGGGGGGAATGGGGTGTGTGGCTCCCCCCAGGGGGGGGGCACCCCTCCCTGCTCGGCTCCAGAGCGTCAGCGTCGTCGTCATCGTCGTCGTCGTCATCATCATCATCATCATCAGCATCAGCATCAGCATCAGCATCAGCATCATCATCATCATCATCATCATCATCATCATCATCATCATCATCATCAGCATCAGCATCAGCATCAGCATCAGCATCAGCATCACCATCATCATCATCATCATCATCATCATCATCATCATCATCATCATCATCATCATCATTATCATAATCATCATCATCATCATCATCGTCATCATCATCATCATCATCATCATCATCATCATCATCATCATCATCGCCGTCGTCGTCGCCGTCGTCGTCGTCGTCGTCGTCGTCCCCCTTCAGGGTCGCCAGCATCGACCGTCAGGCCTTCGCAATACTGCGGAAGGATGGTTGAGAAGAATGCATGGCCGACTCCGGAAACCATGGATCCAAAAGAGATGTTGGCGTCTCACCTTCGCTTCCGCCTCAGCATGGGGGAAGCGGACCCTGAGGGAAACGGGTCCCGGACACGGGGCCTTCCCCTGGAGACGAGCTCTTCATCCTGAGCGGTTTTCTGACGGCCCCTGGGCCCGCGAGGGGCCCCGAGAGCCCGAGCACGGTGACCAACCTCCAGGACCGCTTCCCCCAGGAGCCCCCCCCCCCCCACGGCGACCGCCTCCTCAGCGCCGACCTTCCGCCCGCGAGGACGGAAGGCTTCGGGGGCACGTTCGGACTCCAAGGGGGGCCCTCGCCGGGCCTGCCTGGGGCCCGCCAGTGCTCGGCATGGGGCGAAAAGCCGGCCCCAGGGAATGGGTCGAGACCTCCCGGTGGCCCATGCCAGGGACAACAGTATGACGTCGGGGGGCTGAGAGAAGCGGCCGCCCTCTACAGTCAGGCCCCTGCCAGAAGGAACGCTAAATCCGCCGATCCGGCGTGTGAGTTTCAAGGAGTCTCAGCTACAGCCTCGAGGCTGAGCTTCAGCCTCTGGGGGGGTCGCCGGGGTGGCTCTGCCGGGGAAGGGGGGGTGGGGGGGGGGGGGGGGGTGCGAGTTTCCGGCGAACCCCGGGGCCGCTCCGGGGGAGTGGAAGATAGGGGGGGGGGGGGCGCCATGCTCCGCTTTTTCCGGCGCTTTGGAGGAGGGGGGGGGCCCAAGAGACCCCCAAGGGGTTCCAAGAGGGCCCCGAGTCGCCGAAAAATCGCTCCAAGACGCCCGAGATGGCCTCCAGACGGCCCAAGGTGTCTCCAAGACGCCCCAAGAAGCTTCCAAGAGGCCTCCCAAGAGGGCCCCAAGAGGCCAGAATCGTTGATTTTCATTGGTTTTCTCAGGGTTTTTAGCGTTCTTGCCTTTTCGGGCGTCCGACGCTCGAAGACGGCCCAAGAGGCCCCCAAGTCCGTCCCAAGACGGCCCACGATGCTTCCAACACGGCCCAAGAGAGCCCCAAGACGGCCCAAGAGGGCCCCAAGACGGCCCAAGAGGGCCTCTGGACAGCCCAAGAAGGCCCCAAGAGAGCCCCAAGAGGGGCCCAAGAGGGGGACCACGAACCGAAAGAACCGAGCTTTCCGCCCCAAGAGGCCCCCAGGAGGCCCCAAGAGACCCCCAAGGGGCCCCAAGAAGCCCACAAGAGGCCCAAAAGAGGTTCCAAGAGGCCCCAAAACAGCTCCCCAGAGGCCTCCAGACTGCCTCCGGCAGGCCCCCGGTTTCTTCCGCGGCACCGCCCAGGGCGCCACCGGCAGGATGTCCTCCGTCTCATCGTTTTCCTTCAAGTTATCGCCTCTTCCTCATTCTCCTCCTCCTCCTCTGCGACCTCACTCCTATCCCTCAACGATCGCGTCACCGAGTGCCTCTTCTTTGAAACATCCTCGCTCTTCAAACGCACATCCATACACACATGCATACATACCTACATTTAAACACATTTGCATACATAGAAAAACAATCTTCCAGACATACATACTTACATTCACACACATACACACATATTATCATACACACATACAAACATACATACAAACTAAATACATACATACGCGCACAAGCATACATACATACATACGTACCTACACACAGGCACACATGATCAATGCATGCATACATGCATGCACGCGTACATACACACACATATATCGTGAAACTCACCGCGTGCTCGAAACTTGAGAGAGACCGCGGGAAGTCGAGAGAAGCCGCGGAACGAGGCCTCTACTACTACTACCACTACTACCACAACCACTACTACTACTACTACTACCACTACTACTACTACTACTACTACTACTACTGCTACTACTACTACTACTACTACTACTACTAATACTACTACTAGTACTACAGGAGCGTTTCCCAACTAGTATGTGTGTGTGGGTGATGCTGTGTGCGCATGTCTGCGGCGCAGGTTAAGTGGTGTGACTGTGTGTGTGCGTTTGAGTGTGCGCCCATAATTTCTGCGTCTGGAGAATAACCCCGAGCGACCCGGATCGGCGGCACTGGCCGAAGGCCACTACAATAAGGAACGAAGCCCCTTTTTTTTCATAATCAAATCATACATGTGTAAGGAACGGCAGAGCCCCTTTTTGGAAGCGTTCCCTCATCGTTGCCTCTCGTTTTGACAGAGACCCCCCCTCTGCCGAGACCTAAAGAACGGGTACCCGCGGCACGCAACAGGAAAGCAACAGAAACAAAACAAAACGCCATGGGTGAGCGCCGCGCAAGGAACGGCTGGGCTTTTGTTCAAATTAAAAACTGGACGCACGAGTGGGGCCCCGTTCCTTAGATCATCCGCCCCGTTCGGCGAATCGATGGCGCGCGCGCCATAACCCAAGGAACGCCGAGGGGGCTTCGTGGCGCAATAGCGAGGGAACGCCAGCAGACCCAAGGAACCACCGAGCCCCTTCCGAACCCGAACTGGACCTTATTTCAGGAGACTCACTGTACTGTGGGATGGCGGCTCAGACAAGCACATGACCGACTCCCCGGAAACCCTGGATCCAAAAATGTTGACGTCTCGCTTGTACTTCCGCCGCCGTCCGCTGAGGATCCGAAGACAAAGCCCTTTCTGGAACGCGCCACACGGGGCAAACAATCCAAGAAATACTGTTCTGCCGTTGGGGGAGGTTCCGGTTTGGACAGGGCGAACAAAGTCTCAAGAACGACGGCGACGCCCAGAAGCAGGCCTGCAAAACCCAACGCAATCATCTCCCAAGGCGCTGCTGCGTGACGATCTCCCCAGGGCGTATATCAAGACATTTCTGAACCATCATCCTACAGTCATCCTACATCACCCAGCCGACTCGGATCCATGGAGGAAAAGCGCGAGAGCCCAGATTGCAAATGTGACGCAGCAGCACCACTGTAGAAGTAGTTGTACTAACATTGCGCCAGTGTGCTGAAGTTGTATCCTAATCGGGTCGGAAGGGTTCAGGGGCTCTGGTGGCAAGACGCGCGCGGAAGAAGAAAAGAAACCCACGCGCCGGCAAGGGTCCAAGGTTAAACGGGTCGCCGCGAAGAGCCCCCCCAGAAGGAAGAAAAGGAATCCGGTCCTGGGATTGGGGGGTCCGGGCGTGAGTCGGGGAGGTGATCATCCTACACCACCAGGGAGCTTGAAACTTGGAGGCGGCTGGGTGGCCAGAACTAGAAAATCTGTCAGGAGGGGGGGATGCAGCCACATCCGCTCAAAATATGTCCCCAGGCCCCTCCTGGGGGTCCACGTTGTGCAGTTTTTCACCCCGGATTAATTTGTCACTGTCCCAGAACCGAGAAACGGCCCCCAGAGGTCGAGACAGGCAGAAAACCCTCCCGAACCAAACACCTCGAACCTTCACCCCCTTTTTTTGGGGGTGACCCAAAAGAGGGTCCAGCTGAAAGGGGGTGGTGCAATAGGTTTGGGGCAACAGTATTGCAAACGTATCGCGCCAGAGAGTCGTGTTGCACCCCTAGTGCAGCTAACGTACTGCACGCGAAAATCCAGCAATACATGTGAGCCCCGGAATGTATTGCACGCCCCGCGTGCATTGCAGCCCACCAAATCTATGGCACCAAATCTATGGCACCACCCCTCTGTCGCTGGACCCCCTTTTGGGTCAACCCGATTCCTGCTGGCCCGCACTGGCCCCCAGACGGCTCCAACTGGAACGCGCAGGTGTTGGACGCCCGAGTTATCCGGGGTAACTCGGGTCCGGGATAACTCGGGCTTGGGTTCCCGAAAAACGAACCCGAGTTAGCCCTGACCCGAGTTACCCCTGATGATTCGGGGCTCTGGACGCCCGAAATATCCGGGGTAACTCGGGTCCGGGATAACTCGGGGTCGGATTCCCGAAAAACAAACCCGAGTTAGCCCTGACCCGAGTTACCCCTGATGATTCGGGGCTCTGAAGGTGGCTTGGATCCACACGCGGCACATCTCGAAGCCATGCGCTGGCTGCACGTACGGGAGCCCGGCGTGCACGGCCATAGCTGACCGATCGCCGGAGAGACATCTGGCCACCATGTGTGCCCAGCTCTCGCCCAGGCAAGCCGCGTCATGCGAGGCCACCTGCCTGGCACGAAGACATAAGGGGCCTCTGAGACGGGCCCAGAGGCTTCTGGGAGGCCTCCTCAGAAGCCAGGAGGGCTTCCAAGGCACCACCCTCTCATCGGCACTCTCCCGCCTGTTTAGAAGGCGACACGCCTCGCGCCACCCCTTGTCTCTGTCCCCTGATGTCGTGACCTCTTCACCAGGTTGAACCCAGAGATGTCGGCTGCTTCACCAACGCCAGGACTTCATCCCGAGTCGCTTTGAAACAGTTGTTCTACACTTTCTGGCAAGTTGAACGTCATGGAGGCGAGAGGGGGGGCCCTGAGGGGGGGGGCGTGGCGACGCCCGGCAGGAAATCTGGACTTCACGCAAGGCGGGACTCACTAGCACGCATTTTCGGACTGGTGCTATGTGAAACGGCGGCCCGGGGGAGGAAAGGTCATGCAAATGAACTCCCCAAGGTATAAAGTAAAACGCAATATCAACTCCTCAAGTATAAAGACACAGGCGATCTGTTTGACGGTGCTGGTGCCCAGTGTCCAGAAACCCAGCACCATGACTTGTGGATGATGTGGGCCCACGGAAGTCTCGATCCACTTCCCGTGGTGGTACTTTCAGCTTGATAGCTTATTGACGGCCCAGGGGTCCGGCGAGGGCCCCTGGAACCCGAAAACGGCATACAACCTCCCGCCGTGACTTCTATCACGACGCGAAGAGGTCTAGATGAGGGCTCCCGGGAAGCCATTGACGATATCACGAGCCGGGCCACCTCCTACTCCTCTGTCTCCTCCTCCTCCTCCTTCTCCTCCTCCTCCTCCTCCTCCTCCTCCTCCTCCATCATCATCATCATCATCATCATCATCATCATCATCATCATCATCATCATCATATCATCATCATCATCATCATCATCATCATCATCATCATCATCATCATCATCATCATCATCACCATCATCATCATTATCCTCCTCCTCCCCCTCCTCCACGCCCTCCTCCCCTCCCCCTCCTCCCTCCTGCTCCTCCTCCTCCTCCTCTCCTCCTTCCCTCCTCCTGCTCCTGCTCCTACTCCTCCTCCTCCTCCTCCTCCTCCTCCTCCTCCTCCTCCTCCTCCTCCTCCTCCTGCCGCGGCGCGAGGGCTGCGCGCGCCGCCCCAATGGCACCCCGGGCGCCAGCGGCCCCGCGCGGTGCCACCTCGGCAGCCCAGGCGCAGCCTTCCTCTGGGGGCGCAGCACGGCCGCGCTCACCGACCCCTGGCAAACCGCGCGGCAAACCATCCCCTTCCGTCGGGATGATCGAAATGGGCCAGTCCTCCTCCCCAGGGGGGGGTCCCAGGGGGGAGTCCTTGTCCTCCTCCCTCTCCTCCTCCTCCTCCTCCTCCTCCTCCTCCTCCTCCTCCTCCTCCTCATCCTTCTCCTCCTCCTTATCTCCGCCTCCTCCTGCTTCTTCTCCTCCTCCTCCTCCCCCTCCTGGTCGTCGTCGATGTCTTTCAGAGTCGGCGGCACCGGCCGTCAGGCCTCCACAGCAGGGACGTCGGGGACACTCAATGGGCACGAAAACCGACAGCAGTTCCTGTCCATTTTGAACAGGACTCGCCGTCGGCGTCGCCGCGGGCGTGGTGCATTGGAGGCAGAAGGCCGCCTGCCCCACGGCGGCCGCGGTCGGCTTTGGACCACACTTGTTGTTGGCATTGTGTCCTTGTTCCGTACCCACTGCGGGCGTCCAAATTCCGTGACGTCGCCTTGGGGGGACACGTGCGAACCCTACCCCTACCCCCCACGATTTACGAGGGGAGGGTGGGTTTCACTTCGCTCGGGCGAAGTGAACCCCACCTTCCCCCTCAGAAATCGTGGGGGGTAGGGGTAGGGTTCGCATGTGGCACCCTGGTTCGAGCTCCCCCCCGGCCGCATCCATGCGTCTTGGGGCGAGGCGACCCGGGTGTCACGGAAAGGGGATGGTTTGCTGGGGGTCCGCGAGGCCGCAACTGAGGACCCGCTCGCGCAACGAAGCATGGATAGAACAGGGGGACTCCGACGACGCCGACGACCAACACGACGGCGACCACGACGACGCGGTTGTTGACGACGACGACGACGACGAAGCCGACGACGACGACGACGACGACGACGACGACGACGACGGCGACGGCGGCGGCGTCGACAACGACCCGGCGAAGACCTGCTCAGCGGCAAACCACTGGCCGAGGCGCTGGATGCGGTGCTATCCTTCCTCCTACCGGTTCCTACCGCCCAACACTCTCTGTTTGTATTGTCTGAGCGTCGGCCTTGGAACCGATCAGGGGCATTGCGTCCTCTGCCTACCCTTGGGAGTCCTCGGACTGCAGACGGGCCTGCTTCTGCTGCAACTCATGGGAGCCTCCGATACCATCTTGTTGGCGCTTGCGAATCGAAGTTCTTCTTTGTTGATTTTGTCTGGGGGAGGGAAGGCGAAGATGGGAGCGGACCGCATGCTTCAACAACCGCCGCCGTAACGCGAAAACTTGTTGCATTTGAAAGCCGTTCTCTTCCTCACCAACGGTGTGGAAACGGACGCACACTCAGTGCCGAAAGAGAGGAGGAGGAGGAACAGGAGGAGGAGGAGGAGGAGGAGGAGAAGGAGGAGGATGAGGAGGATGAGGAGGATGAGGAGGAGGAGGAGGAGGAAGAGGAGGAGGAGGAGAGGAGGAGGAGAAGGGAGGAGGAGGGAGGGAGGGAGGAGGAGGAGGAGGAGGAGGAGGAGGAGGAGGAGGAGGAGGAGGAGGAGGAGGAGGAGGAGGAAGAGGAGGAGGAGGAGCGGACCGTAGAGGGAAGAGTCCCGATCCCTCCTACGGCCAGCCCGACGACGCAGGCGGCGGCGGGGCGGTGGGCGCGCCTGGAGCGGCGCCATGATGTGCCGCGACGGTGCGGGCGGCTCTCTGCGGAGGGGGGGCAGCAGCAGGAGGCTCAACCGCAGGGAGGCAAGGGACGGGGGACAGGCACGGCGGGCGAGAGGCGAGATCATTAGCGGCGACATGCTGCCTACTGTCAGCTCCAGGTCGGGGTGGGCAGAGGGCCCTCGCACCCAAGAGCTCCAGGCTGCACGCAGAGCGGACCCCAAACAGGCCGCTGAGCGGCGCAGGGGCGGGGGCGGCGGGAGCACAGAAGAGCGAAGTGCGAGCACTGTGGGGCGGGGGGAGAGCGGCTGACGCCCAGCAGACTCACTGGGACGAGACGCGGAGGCGGACAGAGAGATCACGCAGGAGGCCTCAGGAGCACTAGGGGGGCTCAGCTTCGAGGAAGTTTCAAGCGAGGCATCATGCACAACATCGATGGCGCAGGCCTGCATCTGATAATAGACTGGTCCAGAGCTCGAGGAGGTGGTCGCCGAAGTCGGGGGCGGGGTCGATGGGGACGCGGTAGCACTCTGGGTCGGTGGCGGCCGCGTCCGTGAGCATGGGGTCGCTTCCCGCGGGGTCGTCGACCAGACACAGCCGCGGCTCGACCATCTGGCAACTCGAGATGGGATGGGTGCCGTGGCGTCATCCTCAAAAATAGTGAGAGCCTGCAGCACTGGGTTCGAGGAGCGCCCGTGCGCAGGACTTAGCGTTCTGAGCCGTTCCACCGACAAGGAACTCGCTGGTCGAGACTCGCACGTCATAGCAGGAATATCCTCGCAATTTACTCCATGAGCCTGAAACGACGGGCTCGAGGAGCACCCGCCGTCAGGACTTTGCGCTCTGATTCCACAGCCGTCGGAGCGGGCCAGGTGGCGTGCGTCGGTGTGCGGTCGAGACCCCTCCTCGCAACTTACTCCATTAGCCTGACCAGACGGGCTCGAGGAGCACCCGCTGACAGGACTTTGCGTTCTGACATCAATGGAGGTCGGTAGCACCCAGTCGCAGTCATACAGGGCATGTAGAGGGCCAACGCGTTCAGGAGTGGCAACAGCTGCCGACGGAGTGCCAGGCGCCGCCAGTGGTGTGCGTGGGCAGAGGTCGAACGACACCAGTTCGCCATCATCGGAATCCAAGTCCTGCGGCTCTGGAATCAGCATCGGCGTAAGGCCAGGGCCGCCAACAGAGCCCGCGCTGCACATGTCTCCACATGACGGTGTGGGTGATGACGACGAAGAGCTCGCTGAAGAGGAGGACGAACTCCGTCTTCGTCGGGTCATAAAGCGGGCGTGCCACTGCGGTGGTGAGTCGTCCGAGGGCGCAGAGGTAGTGGCCATTCGCGTGCTCCTCACGCCCGCCAGCGCGGCACCCAATGCATCCTGCTCGGGGATCGGCCAGTCGGGGATCAGACGGACCGTGTTGTACATGCTGACCGCTGCAGCCATGAAGCCGAATGCGGCGGTCGACGGCGCCACGAGGCCCCACCTCTCAGCACGCTCCAATGGAAAGCCATGTCCAAGGGCTCGGCGAAGCGCCGCATGCATCCGTACGCATCGTGAGTAGTGGACAAGCGAGTCGGCGCAATTGTGGCACCCAAAGGCGCAACCACGTCTTCCCGCAGGGGGAAGAATGCGTGAGGAAGTGAGCCAGCCGTCACACCAGGTCCTCAGCGTCGCCCAGGCCCAGGAGCACGGGCATTGGCTGAACGTGGCGGAGATACGCTGCCAGTCGAGCTGGTCGAGGAGGGCACCATGCCGTCGGAAAAAGAACTTCTGAAGCCGAGCACGTAAGAAGTCACGTAAGGGAGCAGATCGCGCCGCGAGATCACGAAGAGCACGATGGACAGCACGTTGAGGTCGGGGACGGACGCCAGGCGGGACTTCAGCAGCGCTCGCAAGGGCCTCACGAGCACGGGGAAGAAGCGCGGCCCAGGGTCCCGCGGGAGCGGGACCCCCCAGGGCAAGTGCGAGGTTCTCGACGATGGCAGGGCTCCGCCAGAAACCAGGGCAGGGTGCACCAGAGCCGACCATGTGCAACGACATGGAGTCCGCAAGTGCCGCCGCGTGGGCCCGCATGCCATCCAACAGCAGCTGGTGCTCGGTGAAGGAGTGGGCGGCCGCCCTCAACAAGGACGCCAGGTTGAGATGGGCCCAGCTCAGAACCCGCGGGCCTTGCCAGAGATCCATCTGCACCCACGCGTTCAGCGGGAAGGTACCCAGCGCGACACGGTAGACTTGTGCAAGCACGCCCAGCTCGCAGCCGAGTGCAGCTCTTGGCATCCAAAAGAACTGGCTGACATATGAGAGTGTGCCGACAATACGTGTATTGTAGATGATGGATGAGAGGCTGGCTGGGGTGACGTTTCGCCCAACTGCTCGAGCCCGCAGCCGCGCCTTCGCAAGAGGGTCAACCCAGGGTCTCATCGGGTCTACAGAAGAACCAAGCCAAATCCCAAGGTAAAGGAGCTCAGAGACGATCTTCATGGTGGACCAATGGGGCACAGCCTGGGAGAGCCTCCTCAGAGCCTCCAGAGCGAGGGCCGGACTAAAGGAGGCCGAAAGAGGGACAATCTGGCATTTCTGAATCTTCAAAACAAGGTTCGCCACCAACTCCGCATCCCTCATCACGAGGGCGACCCAGGCCAAGTCCTCAATGCTCACCAGAGTGCCGCCGATGTCGTCGGCACACGCACGCACGAGCCCGCGGCCTGCCTCTTCGATCACGCGCGCGAGGTGGTACAAAAACGGTGACGTCGCAATAGCATACAACGAGCCCGATAGCGCACAGCCCTGGATGAACCCGCTGCGGACCCAGTACAAGTGAACACGGAGCCCCATGGAGATCGCTATACCCTCGATGGCCTCATAAAGGAACCCAGCGAACATCAGGATAGCCTCTGGAAGACGAAGAGCCCCAAGTATGAACAGCAAGAACTCCTGATTCAGGGAGGGGAAGGCTTGGCCGTAGACCAAACTGTAGAAGATCGGTAAGTCACGTGAGCCGTGAGGCGTGCACGAAAGCTGACGGCTAGACACGTCCAACTCCAGCACATTCAGGCCGAAGTTCCGCCCTGGAACAAAGCCCCACTGACAAGGAGGGGCAACGCGTTCGAGGACGGGGCGAAGGGCAGCGTTCATGGTGGCTGAGAGGACCTTCACGTCGCAGTTGCGGAGACCGAGCACACTCACTTTGTCCGCCCCCTCTCGACCTGGGCGGCTTGGGCCTCATCTTCAGAAACATTTTTGGGCAACGAGACCTGGAGCGTAATACTCGCTGAATCAAACAGCGCCTGGCCCCTCATCACCCACTCCAGACGGTCCCAGAGGATGGTCACGCCAAAGGGGAT